AGTCGCGTAGTCGCAAAACTTTTTTTTAGTATTTCATTTTTTTCAAAGCGCCCGTACTTTCCAAATGCGTCTTTTGGTATCAAAAATAGCCCTGAATTTCAGCTATTTTTTGATACCAAAATATGCGGCGACGGGTGTTGCGTAGTCTAGCTTTGAACGCGCTTTTCTCGACACTGGTTTCTACAATGCGCGCTTAGGTATCAAAAAAATACCTGAGAATTCAGGGCTATTTTTGAAACCTAAACGAAGTAGCCTAAACCAGTGTCGGAACCGCTAATGCTAGACTCCCCACTCCCTACCGTCCTATAATGCGTTATGATTGGCAGTATTTACGGTATTTATCGTATTCTTACCTTTTCAGCTCACTTGTACGGGCTTGCGGCGTCTCTCCTCTGCCCTCTTCCCGAGTCCCAATCCGCCAAGAGTATCCAAAGAATAGTATCTAAATGTAAAGGTTATAGTCAAAAATATTTGGATACACAATTTGAATACAATTTGTATACAAATTGTCCCTAATTTTCTTTAATCCCTACCTTTTGTAGAGGGTTAATGGCTCAAAAAGTGAGTCACTTCTTTTCATGAAATCATTATCTGCAAAAAACTTTTTATACTTTCTTTCTTTTAAGAAATTGAAATTTTTAACCTCTATCCATCGATGTCATAGCCGATTTTAAAGGAGAATTCTGTAAAATTGACATTATTTTTTCTGATAATCTAATGTTTTAATGCTTTTTTTTTTGTTACCTCATCTTCTAAAGTCAACACCGAAATGACGCCAAAAATGAGGGTAAAGAGCACTGCATTTAGCATACCTGAAAAGCGGGAAATAACGATTGAATTGATATAATTGCTTTTGACAAATTCTAGAAAAGTAATCAAGGAAAAGTAACCAAGGACATAATAGGTTTTAGACTATTTATGAACTTAACTCCGAAGGCTAGTTCTTGTTCTTTGACCTTAATTTTCTCCATAATTTTATTGGTAAGTCTATAAAACAAATTATACATTTCTTTACTCAAATTTAACGTAAATTCCAATGATAGTAAGCAGAAGTCAATTGAACTCTTACATCTTGAGTTATAGACCTTTTAAATGGATTGACCCTTTCAGATAAGTAGGTGAACTTTGACCGAAAATTTCTCTATGTTTTTATATTACAGTTTACTAAGCAATTTATAGTTTTCTATAATAGAAAAGTAATCAAAAAAGAGAAATGACTCAAGTCAAGTAAAAAAAAAGTAAAAAACATGTAAGAAAATCACCGAAAATTGTGCGAAAATTTCGAAAATTGCATCTTATTAAAGGATTTTAACAATTTTAAAGCCATTCGGAATACTTTAACATTACATTATTTTAGTAGGATCTCTTTAAAAGGAATCAAGTCATAATCAAGAAAAATGTCTTCAAATTTTGCATCAGACAAATGACAAATGCAAACATTTAAAGCAAAGAACTCACTAATAAATCCCCAATAAAATGCAACCATTCAAAGCAAAGATCTCACTAAAAGATTCCCAATACTTTTCCCTTTCCAAATTCAATCTCTACCGTAGTCTGAAAGGTAATAAACAAGCTGTGCTTTAGCAGGTGTACTTTGTCCGCTAAACACACCATTTCTGGTAGACTTAAAAATAAAAAGCATAGAAGTAGAAGTTGTCAATAGATCAAAATCTGTAAACAAACTCCTTTCCGGAGCAAAGAAACTCCTTTCCGGAGCAAAGAAACTCCTTCCTGGAGCAAAGAAACTCCTTCCTGGAGCAAAGAAACTCCTTTCCGGAGCAAAGAAACTCCTTTCCGGAGCACTCGATTTCTTCATTTGCATAGTGAGCTTATGCTAGCAAGATTGCATTTTAGAAAGCAAAAAAATGAGTTCAAATTCCTTACAAGTGCATTCTACAACCGATGCATATGGAAATTCTAAGATTTCACTTGAAAATTCGTAAAATCGAATACCTTGGGGACAAAAAAAAAAATAATAAATCACTGTTTGAGAAAGGCATTTTTCCGCCCAATGAAATATCCCTTCACATAAAGGATTTTTGAATTTTTTTTGGAAAACCAAAGGGAAATTCTGACGTCACAATGGGTTTTTTGAGATTATGAAACAAGTTGAGACGACGAGTTAATGGCGTTTACCAGAAAAGAGATCACTTTTGTTCGAGGGATTTTACAAAAGAAAAAACTGGGGCGGACACGAACCCAGGCGTTTAGCTAGCCGGTCGACTGGGAGACGAGGGCGCCTACCAGCTGAGCCATGAGAGCAGGCCGAAGGGAGGCAGCCGAATGGCGTTGATCAGGAAACAGCCGCGAATTAATGAGGGATTTTACAAAAGAGAAAAAGTGAGGGCGGACTCGAACCCAGGCGGTCGACTGAGAGACGCGGACGCTACCAGCTGAGCCATGAGAGCAGATTTGAGAGGGCGCCGAATGGTGTTCATGAGGGGCAGTCGGGAATTAATGAGGACAAAAAGATTGATTTGACAAAGAAAAACTGGGAGGGGACTCAAACCCAAACCTTTGACTGGGCGGTCGACTGGGAGGCTACCAGCTGAGTCACGGGAGCAGCATGGAAGGGCAGCTGAATAAAGTTGATGACGGAGATTGGGGGATTGGGGGCCAATATACATGTCTCCTAACAAACTACAATCTCAAACTACAAACCCTTGTAGAATTGCGTAGAATCGATGTTTTTTTAAACTGTTTTTACCAAAAAATCGAGTAAACTTTAGGCTTTTGAATGGCACGAAATGGCACGAAAAATCAAGAAAAAAGCCACCATTTGTACCCCGAGAACAAGCCATTTATAGCTCAGCCACATAACTACAAACCTGACAAAGAAAAACACTAAATCTGAATACGGAAAACATTTGATTTGACCTGATTTTGATGTCATTCGAAAGCCTAAAGTTTTCTCGATTTTTTAATAGAAAAACTTTTCAAAAATCTCTCTTCTACGCATTTCTACAAGCTCATGAAAATGGCGCAACAACGCGTTAAAAAAACGAAAACGTTTCTCGCTTGCTCGATCGCCCAAATGGTATGCGTAAACGTGTGGAAACAGGCGTATGAAAACAGGCGTATGGAAACAGGCGTATGGAAACAGGCGTATGGAAACAGGCGTATGGAAACAGGCGTATGAAAGCTGGCGTATGGAAACTGGCGTATGGAAACTGGCGTATGGGAACAGGCGTATGGGAACTGGCGTATGGAAGCTGGCGTATGGAAACCCGGCGTATGGAAACAGGCGTATGAAAGCTGGCGTATGAAAGCTGGCGTATGAAAGCTGGCGTATGGAAACCGGCGTATGGAAACAGGCGTATGAAAGCTGGCGTATGAAAGCTGGCGTATGAAAACTGGCGTATGAAAGCTGGCGTATGAAAGCTGGCGTATGAAAACTGGCGTATGAAAGCTGGCGTATGAAAGCTGGCGTATGAAAACTGGCTCATCAAGAACAAAAATCCTCGCCCTATAGTAACCTAAAAGCAACTAGAGTATGAATTTTCGTTATCGGAACAAATGTCATCCTTTTCCCCGAGTTACTCATTGCTAATATACGTTTTTAATCTATCTAATCTATTCCAGAAAAAAAGAATGCAATCAAGAAGCACAGAAGCCCTTGGAAACCCATTTTCTACAAAAGTCACATATTTTTAACCAAAAAATTCTGATTATATGAAATTTTCGGACTTCCAAAACTAAAATTTGATCAATTTTTTTTGAAATTCTTTGACAAAGAGCCATTTTTTTTTCATTTTTTTGAAAAAAGCTTAAAGAAAATGTTTTTAAGGGGATTTCTGCAAAAGAACAAAATATTTTTTAACTGAGTCTCTAAACTAAAGTGTAAAAATAAAAATTTGAGCTCTTTCGCTGAATATCTTTACGCTAAAGGTAGATTTTCAATCCACAAATCCTTTTGTCCTTCTTGTTTTCTTGGTGAGAAGCTGGGAAGATTTGACTTCGTTACATCATTACATCAAAATGGCTTTCTAGCTTTCTTTTCGCTAACTCATCTACGCAATTTCAATAAAATGGTGATAAACAATGACAAGAATGGAGTGCAGAAAATCTCTAGAATCACTAGAGATCTCTTATCAGAAATCTCTAGTGAATGCACTTTTACTCAACAAAGGGATAAATAATTGAGTCAAGATCCTCAAAGTACCATAGTCTATAGGGTACTTTGGAGATCTTAACTCAAACATCATCATCATCATCATCATCACATCATCATTCCATCAAAATGACTTTCTAGTTGTCTTTTCGTTACTCATCTACTCAATTTCAATGAAATGGTGATAGACAATGAAAAGTGGAGTACAGAAAATAGATCTCTTATCAGAAATCTCTAGTGAATGCAATTTTTTGCTCAACAAATGGATCGACAAATCGAGTCAAGCTCCTCAAAGTACCACAGCCAATTTCTGGTGATTTCATTTCTTCATTGAGCCATCAAAAATGAAGATTTGCGTTTTGAGTGCATGAGAAAAAGGCTTTAATTTCTTGCTTTTCTTGTTAAAACTCAAAAGAAAATAAGTGAAGAATTTTGAAATACGGTAAATTTTGAAAAGCTTGAATGCTTGAAATCTCATTTTCTTCAAATTTCTCTCGCAAATTTCTCTCGAAAGGAAAAAAAATCGAATTGTGAAACACTTTTCGAAATTGAAATCCAGATTTCTGTGATATTATCGAAAATGTCAAAAAATTGCAAGAAAATGAGAATTTTGATTTTAAAATTAAAAGCAATTTTATAGAGACATTTTGAGAGGCTTTAAATTTAATAGAGGCTTTTAATAGAGGAATTTTAAAACTTCAAAAGAAAAACCTCAAAATGAGAGATTTGTATTGAAAAAAAAGTCTGAAATCGGTAAACCATTTGTAAACTTTTTTTTTTGATACTCTTTTTGATGAACTTTATACTCTCAAACTTGTAAATATAAATCTACTAATGCAGAGAATCCTTGTTTCTTTTGAGTACACTAAGAGTACATTCGAGGACACTAAAGGGGAAGCGTTTACCGGATTCGACAAGCACAAAGTACGCTGTTTATCTGGATCTATTGGATCAACAATAAATACAAAATATAGCAAGAAAACTTGGATTTTTAACGTTCTAGATATATATATATATACCGTAAATACTGTAATAGTACCCCACCGCCCCCGTACAGTCGCGTAGTCGCAAAAGTTTTAGTCGTTTTTTAGTTTTTCATTTTTTCCAAAGCACCCATACTTTCAAAAAATGCGTCTTTGGTATCAAAAAATAGCCCTGAATTTCAGCTATTTTTTGATACCAAAGATAATGACGGCGCGGAGTGTTGCGTAGTCTAGCTTTGAACGCGCTTTTCTCGACACTGGTTTAAGCTACAATGCGCGCTTAGGTATCAAAAAATAGCTGAAATTCAGCGCTATTTTTTGATACTTAAACGAACATTGTAGCATAAACCAATGTCGAGAAAAACTCGTTCAAAGCTAGACTACGCAGCACTCCGCACCGTCATTATGGGCGGTGGGGTACTATTACAGTATTTACGGTATATATATATATATATATATATATATATATATATATATATATGCTTTATTCAGTTGAATAGCGACAAAACAAAATCACAATAATTACCCGGGACACCACTCAAAACAAACTCAAAAGGTAAGTCGATACCTCAAGAAAGAATCACAGAGCAGTCAAATGAATTGCCGAAATTGCGGTCAAAAATCTTTCATTCAACAAATCACAAAAGGAAACGAAAGGTTGGCGTATGAGAAAAGGCCTTCTGGAGGCGCCCCGTAGAGAGCAGTCAAATGAATTGCCGAAATTGTGGCTTTAAATCTAGCCAAGGTGGGAATATCACGAACATGACGTTCCAGATTTAATAAAAAAGAAACTGTGGGGGCTTTTAGAGGAAACGGAAGGTTGGCGTATGAGAAAAGGCCCCGTAGGCCCCAAAGAAAAGGCCTTCTGGAGGCGCCGCGTAGAGAGCAGTCAAATGAATTGCCGAAATTGCGACTTTAAATCTAGCCAAGGTGGGAATATCACGAACTGAGGGGGCAAAATGCTCCAGAATTTAATAACTCGATTAAAAAAGAAACTGTGAGCGCTTTTAGAGGAGACGGAAGGTTGGCGTATGAGAAAAGGCCCCGTAGGCCTTCTGGGCCTTCTGGGGCCTTCTGGAAGCGCCCTGTAGAGAGCCGAATTCAAAGAGATCAGAAAAAAGGTTCTAGATATGATTTAATGTTATAAATTCCTGAAAAATCGGTTAAATCAAACGAATTTTCACGTCAAGCAGACAAAAATAGAGAAAAATCGGTGGAATCGGGACAACAATTCCCCTAAAAAAAGAATGGCAAGAATCGGAAGATTCAATTCAATCCAATCCAATTCGATTCATTTCAATTCATTTCAATTCAACTCTCCGATTCATTGAATGTCATTGGTGGAAATTTCGAACAAAAAACTCGCGATCTTCTCTTGTCTGACCCCAAATTACCCATTCCCCACTCCCCATTTCCCCCTTGTAATCTTAATCAAATTTTTTTACACAAATCTAATATTTATTGCTTTTTTTGAACTAAAGAATCTTTAAATTTTCTCTTTGAAAAAATAAAAAGGGTTTTTGATGAAAATTTCTTCATTTTGAATCGTTTGATGGTTAATTTTTAAACAAGAAAACAAGAAAACCATCTTTTTAATGCTTTCCCACCGACTTTTTTCGATCTCTTATTTTTAAAGCAAAAGAAATTCTAATAAACAAAACAAACAAACAAAAAAAAAAAGAAATCAAAAGAAATTCTATTAAAAGAAATTTTATAGAAACA